AACTGTAATAGCATAATCAATAAAATATATTTAAAAATAAAAATAAATAATTAAACTGCATCAAAATGAAAACTTTTGCTTTTTGAAAGACATTAAAAAATAAAAAGAGAGGACTTCTGCCAAGATGGAGACGTAGGTGGAGGAACCATCTTGCCTCTGTGCACAACCAAATCTAAGAACAACTATTTTTAACAGCAGTCACAACCAAGCCACATGGAAAATCGACAATACGGAGTCCAAAGGACAACTAGATACTCAGCTGGACTGGTATGAGGAGCGAAGCCAGCAGCGGAACAGGTTAGCAAGAAAAAATTCCCGGGTCGTGCGCGGTGAGCGCGCAAGCAGCCTAAGGCGCTGATCAAGAGCGAGCTAGCTACGGGAGCGCACAGGGAAGAGGCGCGGCGGGTCGGTCGGTCGCGCACCTGCGTGCGGAGAAACCAGTGAGAAGGGAAGCCTGCTGCGCAGGCTCGCACAATTCCAATGGATAAACAAGCCCGAGGCGTGTGGTGTGACTGGACGGGCTGGGCTAGCGGAGAGGACCGCCATTGCTCCCTCTCTGACCACGCCCCCACACACAGCGTCACAAACCAGCGACCTGGGTCTCCCCTTCCTGGTAAACAATTAAGGCTTCGCTCTGCTTACTTAACAGCACGAATAGACCAAAAATGGCTCTAGGACAACTCAGAGCCCCAGAACCGATAGATCTAAGCGATGAAGAAATAGCCAGTCTTTCAGATGCACAGTTCAAAACACTGGTGATCAGGATCCTTACAGAACTGGTTGATTTTAGTCACAAATTAGAGAAACATATGGAAGCTAAACTAATTGAAATGAAGGGAAATACACAGGAAACCAATAGTAATGGAAAGAAAATTGGGACTCAAACCAAGGGAGCGGACCAGAAGGAAGAAAAAAATGATCAACCAGAAAAGAATGAAGAAATAAGAATTCAGGAAAATGAAGAGAAGCTTAGGAACCTCCAGGACATCTTTAAACATTCCAACATCCGAATTATAGGGGTACCAGAAGGGGGAAAGGCACAGCCACCAGTGGAAAACTTATTTGAACAAATAATAAAGGAGAATTTCCCCAATTTGGCAAAGGAAATAGACTTCCAAGAAATCCAGGAAGCTCAGAGAGTCCCAAAAAGTTGGACCCAAGAAGGGACACACCAAGGCACATCATCATTACATTAGCCAAGATTAAAATGAAGGAGAGAATCCTAGAAGCAGCAAGAGCTAAGGGGACAGTCACCTACAAAGGACTTCCCATCAGACTGTCAGCTGATTTCTCAAAAGAGACCTTACAGGCAAGAAGGGGCTGGAAAGAGGTATTCCAAGTCATGAAAACCAAAGATCTACAACCAAGATTGCTCTTCCCAGCAAAGTTTTCATTTAGAATGGAAGGACAGATAAAGTGCTTCTCAGATAAGATCAAATTCAAGGAGTTCATCATCACCAAGCCCTTATTATATGAAATGTTAAAGGGACTTACCTAAGAAAAAGAAGATAAAAAAGAGGAGCTGTGAAAGGACAGCAAACTCACAGTTATTAAGAACCACACCTAAAACAAAAGCAAACTAAGAGGACAGCTAGATCAGGAGCAGAACCATAGAAATGAAGATCTCATGGAGGGTTAGCAACAGGGGAGTGGGAGGAGGGGAAGGGGGGGAGAAGGTACAGAAAATAAGTAGCATAGACAGTAGATAGAAAATAGATAGGGGGAGGGTAAGAATAGCAGGGGAAATACAGAATCTAAAAAATTTGAGACACGTGTTCATGAACTAAAGGGGGAAATGGTGGGGGAGGGGTATGCAGGGTGGAGGGGAATGGAGGGGGGGAATAGAGCAAATGTAATGGCATAATCAATAAAAAAAGTTAAAAAAATAACTGAGCAGGAAAATAAAAAAAAATAAAAAGAATTCATATATATCTGACAAAGGACTTGCATCAAGAACATACAAAAAGTTTTAAAATCTCAACAATAATAAAAAAAATGGACAAAAATTTTGATCAGATACTTCACAGAAAAGATATACAAACGGTGTCACTAGGCATTAGGTTGAATATGATCAGCGACTCTAGGTGTTGGTGAGGAGGCGGAGCACCTACTGCTGGCAACACAGAATGGCACATTTAAGGGGCGTATCCATGAAGATGTTGCTGCATGGAATGTCTGAGGTTTTCCTGCCAACGTTTTCCTCTAGGATTTTTGTGGTGTTAGGGTTTATATCTAAGTCTTTTATCCACCCTGAATTTATTTTGGTGTATGGCATAAGTTGGTGATGGAGTTCCATTTTTTTGCATGTCCAGATCTCCCAACAGCATTTGTTGAAGAGGCTATTTTTGCTCCATTTTATGCATCTCCCCGCTTTGTTAAATATTAATTGACCATAGAGATTTGGATTTATTTCTGGGCTCTCTGTTCCGTTCCATTGGTCTACGTGCCTGTTTTTATGCCAGTACCAGGCTGTTTTGATTACAGTGGCCTTGTAATACAGTTTGATATCAGATATTGTGATCTCTCCTACTTTGTTCTTCTTTCCCAAAATTGCAGCAGCTATTCAGGGTTGTTTATGGTTCCATATAAATTTCTGAAATGTTTGTTCTATATTTGTGAAATAGGTCATGGGTACTTCATTAAGGATTGCATTGAATCTATAAATTGCTTTGGGTAGAAAAAAGCAAACAAAATATAACCAGAGTCATTGAAATTAAGAACACTCTAACAATAGCCAGAGAGGAGCGGGGAGGGTACAGTGAAGAGAAGGGTTTTCAGGAACTACTATAAAGGACACATAGACAAAACCAAGGGGGAGGGTGGAAGTAGGGGAGGGAGGTGAGTTGAGAGGGGGTGGGAGGGAGGCATGGGGAGAAAATACAGAGAACTGTAATTGAACAACAATAAAATAATTTAAATTAAAAATGGCACATATATTCTGGAAAACAGTTTGACAATTTCTGATTAAATTAAATATATACTGATCATAAAGCTGAGAAATTTCACTCATAGTTCCATACTCAAGACAAAGAGTAATGTATTTAAATGTTCATAGGCACTGTATTCATAATAGCAAGAAAGAAAACTCAAATGTCTATTAGCTGGGGAGCAGATAAACAAGTTGTGCTGTGTTCATACGAGGGAATCCTACCCAGCGATAGAAGAGACAGAACTACTGGTACACACGGTAACATAGATCCATCTTTAAAATGTCACCAGCTGAGAGAAGCCAAATGTCATATTGTACAGTCTCATTTTTTAAAAAAATATTTTCTTTACTTATTTTTAGAGAGAGGGGAAGGGAAGGAGAAAGAGTGGGAGAGAAACATCAATGTGTGGTTGCCTCTCATGAGTCCCCTTCCAGGAACTGGCCTGCAACCCAGGCATGTGCCCTGACTGGGAATTGAACCGTGATACTCTGGTTCGCAGGCTTGCGCTCAATCCACTGAGCTACGCCAGCCAGGGCTGTAAAGTCTCATTTTTATGCAATTTTTAGAAAAGCCAAAACTATAGCAACAGAAAGCAGACCAGAGATAAAATTGGATGGACAAGGGAATTTATTTCAAAATGGTATTAGGAAACTCTTAGGGATATGAAAATGTTTTATATCTTCACTATGACGGTGGTTACCCAGCTTTATACATTTGCCAAATTTCACTGAATTGTACTCTTAAAATGAGTTAATTTTATCTATATAAGTTATGTTTCAATAAAGCTTTTAAAAAAGGAATACTTATTTATCATAGTTTATCAAATAGGAAATACAAAAAGCTATATAGACAGCCATAATAACAAATGAAAAATTTATTTCTCATCATGTAATATAACTACTATTTACATTTTTAGTAAACTTTTAATTGAAGAATTAAATACTACAGAAAATGCAAAATCTTAGTTGTAAAACTCAACAAATTTTCACAAAGTAAATATTCTCAAATAATTGACTGAACTAAACAAATAGGACATTATTTAGCTCTCCATAGCTTAGTTTTGTCTGTTTTTGAGATATATATATATATGTATATATGAAATTATTTACTTTATGTCTAATTCCTTTAGCTCAGAAATACCTTTGCAAGATTTATCCATGTTGCATGCAGTTATACTTCATTCACTGCTATTATTTTATAGTTTTCTATTATATGAATATGCCAGAATTTATTTATACATTCTACTGTATATAATTATTCAGTTATTCCCATCACTGGATTATTAAAAATAGAATAAGAATATCAATGTTTTTGCATATAATTTTGATGAATAGAAGATATATCTGTTAGTTACACAGCTAGAAATAAAATTTCTGGGCTTTAAAATGTGCATTGTACAAATTTAGTAAATGCTTTCAGAAAGTTTACCAATATGGCTATACCAGTTATACTCTCACCAGCAGTGTATGGGCATTTCAGTTGATCCATATATTAATGTTTTGATGTATTTTTCAAAGAATTATACAGCAATATCGTCAAGTTTACTTTCAGGGTTTTATAATGTTTAATAAAATTGGTCTCATATGGTATACAGAGATTTGAATACTGCTCTTTGAACTTATTTAAATTAACCTTATAACATGGCCATGTTATTAAATATTTTCCAAAAGGATGATTGTTAATGGCTGCATAATATTTTATCATAAGATTTTTTTACCATCCCTTGCAGCTATTGTCTGCTTCAGTTTCCTCAATGACACAATATTTGTATTTATGTCATTATACAACAATAATATTTACATTTGTATCCTATCATAGGGTATTTTGTAATTATGAAGGTAATAATCTAAGTACTGCTTTACATAGTAACTGTCATATAATTGATGTTCAACTAATTAGTGTCTTTCTCCTTCCAGCACTATATTTATTCTCCATAATGGAGAAAAATTATTCAAACATAGTAAGTAGATCTTCTTTCATTTCTTTCATGAGAGTTTTATAGTTATTGCCATATTGGCATATCCTATATATATTTTGTTAGATAGATGATAAAGTATATAATTTTTTCCCTACTGTGCAACCTGTTTCAGTGCCTGTGGCTTACAGATAGAAGCCAAACAATGATTCAAGGCCACAGTTTGCTTTGGCTTTGGAAAGTATCCCTCATGAAAGACCCAGGGGTATGGGCTTGCCTTAAATCCAAACCCATGTATAATAAAATATATCATTTTAGGGGATGTTACTGTAAATGTACTGTATTTTTAGTTTTAAATTTCAATTGTTCTTTGGTCTATATGTAGGAAAGCATTTGATTTTTGTATATTAACCTTGTATCCTGCAGTCTTGCTATGATCATCACTTACTAGTTTCAAGAGACTTTTCTCATTGTTGTTGATTTTTTGTCATTTTCTACATACGTAATTATCTCAGCTGTGAACAAAGAAAATTCTATTCCTTCATTTTCAGTATGTACATCTTTTATTTCCTTTTCTTGTCTTATTGCACTAGCTGTGTATTCAAGTATGATATTGATGGGAATAGTGGGAAGGAATATAAAGTACCTCCAAGACTCCTAGTCACCAGAAAGGCAGTTCACATAGGGGAGGGCAAAAATCAAGAAACTACTGAAACCGAGTAGTGTAGTGTGGAGTAGTTTTATTTTGCAAATTGTAATCATCAGCTCTCTGAAGACCTATTAATAAAATGAACTGGGACAGTAACTAATTTAGTGGCTTTATCTTTGGTTTTGGATGCAGCAGGGCAGAAGAACATGTTTGGGTTGATAGAGTTTCCTACCAAACAATCACAGATGGCTACACATAATGCAGCACACAGGAGGTGTGTCTGGGGAAACAGCTTGGTGAACTGGATTAAAGTCACTTTCAGGTCTGTTTACACTGGTAAGGGGGACTGCCCAATTCCTCCTATAAATGCTAATGGAATATCTCAGATAAAGTGACCGATATGCTTCATATGTAAGTCATGTGGGACAGGCTTACGATGACCTGGAAATTCATCTGCTGAATATGCCCTTTGTTGGATTATGGTTAATGCTGTGATTAAGGGCAGCCATTTTTCATGAACACCCCACATATTTTTACTGCTGCAAAATCAGGCAATAGTATGAGGATCCTTATAGATTTGGTGTCTCAGCTTCTCCTTGTGGGTCTTACAGGTAGTAGTAAAAAAACCATTCAATTAACTAATAAGAATGCAGGGAGGCAGAGGGGAAAATCAATGTACTCTTCCTAGAAAGGTGGAATTTTTTTTAACCACTATTAAGAAGAAGGAAACAAAGCAAATATTGATAGGAGTGAAATAAAGATTAAGAAGGGGAGACAGTCACAGGACTCATTTCAGCAGGGTGGAAATCTTTAGATGGTTTCTAAGAATGGGTTGAATAAAGTGGATCTTGATGGTCCTAAAGGATAAACAAAGGCATATTAAAGTTTTTTAAGAGTTTATGTGAACAAAATTCTACTTGAATTGGGCAGCACCAAATCAGAAATGGTTATGAACATTCTGGCAACAGGAGCTAGGGGAAATAGGTTTATAAAGAAGATGCAGAAACAAAGCAAGGGAACTCTTTGGCTATAGCTTAAGTGGTTGCCTTTTTTGGGAGCTCTGTTGGTTGTATGTGATTAGTTGGTGGGTTTTGATTTCTTAACCTTGTGGTATTACAGACTTAAGTTTTGGTTTACTTAGACTAATAAGGCAATAAAGCCACCTCAGCCTAAAGTCCACTTTATTTAATTAATTTTAAAATGTTATTAAAATGAAGCTCTCCTCCACCTGAATGTTTTATGACAATGGTATTACATTTGAAGAACATGGCCTGTACCTAGTATTGTAAAACCAGAATCTGTTGATGCACTCCTAATGGAGGCTACAGTTAGGAATGTAAGGGTTGATGGCATGAAGGTAAAAGTGTGTAGAAGAATTGGTGTGTTGAACAGTCTTTATGTGAAGTGGTTGCATCTATTTTACCTCATTGTATTATGGAGACAGACATTGTTTGTTACGGAGGAATGTTTCTCCTACTTAGCCTTATAAAATAGAAGGCATGTAAATCTGATCTTCAAGCAATATCAATTGGTCATGCTAAATGGAAACCAGTCAGATTGCAAGAGCCTGCACAGTGTAAAATAAAAGCTGGTGGGCTGATAGGGACAAGTTCTCAGTGACATTCTCATATGGATCATAGATGGGAACTTATGGAAAAGGCCCTAGAGTAGCTTCTCACAATGACTACTGGAACTTTGGACTAGAGAATTTTCATCTGAGGAGCCATTACTAGTTTACTATCATGATGTGGAGCCTGGCTCGTAGGGTCTGCCACATTGTGGACGAGATATAAAACATTCACATGGACTACTGAGTCCTGTGGGGGAAAAGGGTGAGCACACCTTTCCTCTCAAGGGGAGCAAAAGCCTTGGCTTCTGCCATGACAGGCCTTTATTTCTTTTTCTCTCTGCACATTACATGATGGTTTTCATTTACTATGCACAAAGGAGCAGATGCCTCTAATCACATCACAGAAGAAGGATATTTGCAAATGAAAAGGGAAGAGTAGTTGAACCCGTTACACTCATCTTTGGAAGGTTTGGCATGGATTTTAGGAAGTTACTTTGCAGTAAATGTTTTCTGCCTCAATTCAGGGTGAGGGAGTTTTGGCAAAAGCAAATCTCATAGCACTCTAGGTACAGTGCAGGCCTGATTCCCCACGGGAGGACCTCTTCGTGGGCATGAGTCCTGTGTGTATCCGAGTCGGAGCTGGGCCTACACCACGAAGAATGGTCTTCATTCTTCCCCTTTGTTTCCCCCTTGTTTTTAGTTAGGACTGCTATAGATCCCACAAAGCTTGCTACTTGCTGGTCTCTCGCATGACCCTGGGAAAATAATTTGCAAATACGTCCAAGTACACAGAGCATTATTATAATTAGTAAGCAACCAACAGTTCCAAAGACCCACATTCTCAGATTAAGCCCGTCAATTATGGTCAGGTGGTAATGATCAAATAGATAACATTCAAAGAACTCTGAGGGCCTATTTTGAGTCAGGGTCAGATAGCTAAAGGGCCATACAATTTTGGAGAAACAAACTTGTTTCAGGCTTGGACCCTTATCATTTAAATTGAGGGTATTGGCAAAGTAGGTTTCATTGGATTTTATACTTTCTTTCTTAGGCCCAATTGCCCCAGGGAACCTGCCCTTTCCAGCACAGGGCCACACCCACTCCCGTCATTGTTTCAGGCTTAAGTCGGGTGGGGGAAGTAAGGAAGCCAAGAGATTAGGAGATTTCTTGCAGACAGAATGAGGACTCTGGCTATGTGGAAAGCAGAGGGGTGAGGGCCCAACACCCCCTATTGCTATAGCCCCCCAAGTTCTTCCCTGGGGCCTCCCCATGATCATGCCTGTCTTAGGTCGTTTCCCCCTTGGAAAATCTTACTTGTCATTGGCTAACTGATCAAGCACCAGGGGCCAGGCGGGGTGAAGAAAAAGGAGCAGAAGCAGTGCTCCTGCCAGGGAGATAAGCTTTGTCTCCTTAGTGGCTTTTGGTCCAAAGGTGGCTCACTCAGCCTCAGCCTTGGCGGGGTTACAGCTTCTGAAACCAGGCAGGGCGGCAGTTCCCAACACTACTGGACGTTAATTAAAACTGCCCCTATGACTAAAGAACATAAAATAATCTTGAAGCTGGAAATATCGTGATGTCACAGGTAATGTTGGAGAAACTCTCTAATGTGGATTGCGGCTCCAAGAAAATTTCATAATAAAGTGGAAACAGTTTACACAAGATTGTGGTACATAAGGAGAGCGCATTGAGCCCCTTTTCCCCGAGGACTGACTCTGTGAAGAACATTGGAGTCTACCGTCTTATGGTCAGCATCTTATAAACAGCTCCTGACAGTCCAACAAAGAGTTGCTTGCTTTGCGAATGGCAGTTCCAAGGTGGACAGAAAACACCCTGCTTGGAAGGCTGCTGCATTCATCAAAAAGGGTAAAAACAGATTGGCTTGGCAACCTGAACTGCATACTGTTTTCCTAGCAGTGATGGAATGATTGAGTATTGGCAAAAGTCCCTATGTTTGGGTTTTTACTGTCTCATAGGCAGTGGCCAGTGGACTGGCCACACAATGGAAACCTGGCCTATTATAAGGATGCCCATACAGATCCCATCCCTGTGGATATCACTATGGGAATTTGAGAAGTGCATTAAAGTAGGACCTGTTGATGCCCATTAGGATGCCTTTCCAGGTCCAGAAGGTGATTAAATGAACAAGCAGACATTCCCATGCATTTGCTTAAGGTAGTCACCTATGTCCATGAGATGAGTGGATATGGGGGTGCTACAACAATGTAGAGATGTGGTGAGTTTTGACATATTTCTCTTGCACTCTCTGAGGCACAAAATGTCAATAAAAACTGTTCTGTCTGCCAGCAAAAGAGACAGAGACTACAGATAGCTATGTGGAAAATCCTCTGTGGAGAAAGCCGTGAACATAGCTGGTAATTCAGACTGATACGTGTAGCCTCAGGGAGCTATGAGTGGGTTCTGACAGGAATAGACACTAACTCTGGACTGGGCTTTGTTTACCAGGTGGTAGATGCAAATGCTCAGAATGCCATAAGAGTTGTAAGGTATTATGCCAGTTTGGACCTCTGAGTCCTATGTCTTAAGGTCAATGAACACACTTTACAGTTTACAGTGTCTAACAGTGGGCTGAGAGATACTCTCCTCAGAATAATAGTTTGATAGAAAATGGAAACGAACAATGAAAACATCGGTTGTCTAAAACAGGGAGGAGATATAAACATGGAGTGTTGGCTTATACACCTTCATGAGTGTGTGCTCCCACTCAGGAGGAGCAGAGCTCAAGAGGTGTCCCCACTAGATGGATTCCTCTATTTTTTCTGATGAATCCGGGGAAAAGTAAGTCAAGGAGGATACCTGTATGACTATGAAATTCTTTTTGAGTAGCAAGGACACTGATATAACAACTATACTTATTTTTTTGCCCTCACACCATCTCAATTTTGTTATTTTCCCTACTCAATGCAGTGGTTGCAGGACCAGGGCTACAATTACAAATGTTGGAAGCAGGAATAATTCCCAAGCCAAAACTATAACTATATAATTAAACCTTTATGTCAGAATTCCTAAGGGCCTGTTGGAGTGAGTTGTGCCTTTACGGTATCTGTCAAAATTGGTGT